ACGAACAAGAAGTAACCATTGTTCTTATTTTCTTCCTTAACGACAGTTTAGTCTAAAATGGAACAAATGAAAGAAGGCTACTAACTAAAATTCACTGAATACTTTCTGGCAGGCATTGTGTTAGGTACTCTCACATTATCTCTTTTAATCCTACAAATCAGTTCTGATGATTCTACAAGACAAGTGCTGTACTTGTCATCTTAAAAATGAGAGCATCAGAGGAACCTGGTATAACTTACTATTATATTATGTAGAAAAGAAATGTTAACCTCAGGCCATGAGGCAAATCTATCAATAATAAAGCATTGGTCTTAAATGTCTAGGGGTAATATACCCTTCCTTAATAAAACAATTACAACTAATCTCTGTGTATTTAGCTATGCTGACAGTTTTAGCATTAAAGAGCATTAATGTACACAAATGTCTCTAATTGAGACGTGAATGAGTCCCTCTGAGCACTGGTATACAAGCTGCAGAGTTACACTCACTTGTTTTCTTTCTTCTTTTTTTGGGGGGGGGCGGGTGCAGGATCTCATTACACAGCATGGATTCGTAGTGATCCTCCTGTTTTCTACCTCCCCAGTACTTGCATTATACGCGTGTGTCACCACACCAGGACTCCATCACTAATTCAGCGTGCCCAGGGGAAGGGGGCGGGGCAGCATCCAGTGCCAGAGATCGAACCCTGGCCTCTGCCCTTACCTAAGCAAGCGCTTAGTTCGCTGAGCTACCTTGCCAGCCCTTACACTCACTTGTTTTGTGATTCTGCTCCCTATTTGTTCAAAAACAGTCACTTTGGGAAAAGTTTCTCACTCTAAGCCTCCAACTGAATTAGAGTGGCATACATGAATGGATGAACCTACTCTCTGACCTGCCCATCTTGATCCCAAGAGAAAGCCAATACTCTTCACAGACTATGTATTCTAGTCCTGTCAAATTTAAAAAAATATGGCAAGTTTACATGGCTGCCAACATTAATCAAGTTTCCACTTACATTGAGAGATGGTATGACATAGTGGTTTTAAAAGGCTGGCACAAAACTGCCTGTGTTCTGGCCTTGCTCCATCACTCACCACCGCAAAACCTTTGATGACAACTTAACTTTTTGTGTATCTATTCCTCATGTATAAAATGGAAAAATAACAATAATCCTAATGGAGATGTTGTGAAGTTTAACCCGGGTAACAAATGCAAAACACTAAAAATAGTGATAAGCCAGTTTCTTTTCTTTTTTTCTGAAGATCTGTTATGTTCAACTGCATTGCTAAAATCTTCCATGGGAGACTTCAGAATGTCCACATTGCTACTCCATACATTCCTGAAACTACCCAGGAATATTACAGCAAGTTTCTCTGTGACTAAGTGTCGCCACATAGTGTGCTGGAGGGAAACCAGCTGCCCAGCACAGGCAGTTGGAGAAGGAAGGAAAGAAGAAATCAAACAGGCTGGTGAGCCACAGCTCTTTCCATCACTGCCTTAAACAACAAACTCTCTGTGCAGACTCTAGAGGAGGGCTTCCACAACCTTTTTGAAAGAAGGGCTTTATTTTCATTTCTATGGAATCTTGAAATCACCAAGAGAAGGGGAAGCCCACTCCAAAACACCTCAGCAGAGCTAGAGCGGGAGGTATCTCTATGGACTGAGTTTTATTTCGAATCTGAAAAGCATAATACCCGCTGCGGCCTATAAACCTCACATACTGAAGTAAGCTGCTTGTTTTGGGGAATGTCTGTTTCAGAAAATGCTACATGTTGATTTTAAAAGAGGCCTGGCTTATAAGAAGGAAAGGAAGAAACTCATTTTTTGAAGATTGAATGCTTTCATATATATACTGAATTTAATCTTTCAAACAGCGCTCCTACAACTTTGAGGAAAATGATTGTTACAGGCTTCCATAGTTTGCAGAAGTCCTTCCCGTAGTAGTAGCAATGCATGATATAAACTGATACCTTAGTGACCTGCAATTGATGATTAGTAAAAGGCATTTAATTCACTCAACAGATATTTACTGAGTTCTTTGTAGGTGTCAAGAATTGTGGTAAATGGTAAATACATAGCTTTAGAAGTGGAAAAAACAGACAAATCTCCACAATCATGAAAAATAGAATCCAATAGGAGAGATTAGACATGCAGATGTGTTCCACAAGAAGAAGTTATAAGCTGGGATCACAATCAATAGTTAAGTGAGTTAATTGGGCTGGTTAACTTAAGACCTACATGCTGATTTAGCTTCTGCAATGAGAAGAAAACTGTACAAGATCTGTTTACAAAACTAATAACTTGCCTTCTTTGTACCACTAATTTAAAGTTTGTGAAGATAGAAAAAGTTATTTATAGGTTTGTTTCCATTGACAGATTATGAAACCCTACAGAACAGAGACTATGTCTTATTAGTATTTGAATATTTTCTGACGTAGTATTTTGCACAGTAAGAATTCTATGAATTTCTCTTAAATCAAGCATGTTTGAGCTGATTAGAAAGATGCATCTTTCCCTAAAAAGCAGTAGTTTTGCCTTGTGGCACAGACACTGAATGGCCAAATAAGATGTTCTCTGGTCACATTGCTTACAATTTTGTGGCCCTGAACAGTAGATCCTAAACAGATGCATGTCTTTTGGGGCTGAAGTGTTTAGAGCTAGCAAGCAGAACTTTAGCTTGTCTTTCTTTTTCTTTCTTTCTTTCTTTCTTTCTTTCTTTCTTTCTTCTTTCTTTCTTTCTTCTTTCTTTCTTTCTTCTTTCTTTCTTTCTTTCTTTCTTTCTTTCTTTCTTTCTTTCTTTCTCTCTTTCTTTTTTCAGAACCAGAATTTTGTCTTCACAACTAGTGACATTGCAGCTGATAAAGATAATATTGTCCTGGATCTCTATATGGCTATGAAGAATAATGGCCCCTCTCACAATAGTGCATGTTGAAATTTATGTAGCAAAAGCAAATGTTTGTATTTAGCCATTGACATATAAGAATTAACTTGCGGGCTGGTGAGATGGCTCAGTGGTCTAAAGCACCTACTTAGAACAAGCTTAGCAAAGCACCTGGACCGCGGTTCAATCCCCCAGCACCACATGCCAGCCAGCCCAGCCCCCAGGTGGGCTGAGCTGGCCACACACACACACACACACACACACACACAAATAAATAAATAAAAATTTAAAAAAAAGAATTAACTTGCTAGTGAAGCATAATCTAGTTCATATCCACTTATCTTCAGCTTCTATCACCAGAGGTATTGGAGATAGGGTTAACTCAGTGATTCTCAGAGAAAAGTAATGCTGAGGCTGAATATTTTCTAAAAGGTTGGAAATAGCTGGAAACTATCAGCACACTCACAAAGAAAAGAAGTAAGAAAAATGAAAATTGCTATAAAAGGAAAACAATTATATTGAGTGGGAAAAGGATTGTGGCCAAAAACAAATTACAGTCTGCTTGTCCCAAATTAATGTTCATCCAATTTTAGAAGAGATTCTTCTAATCTTAATTTATCTTCAGATGCTTTCAGAGATGCATTATTTGTCTTTACAGTAATTATTTTTAAAGTCTGGCTGTCATCCACCCACTAGTGAGTCTCTTCTTTGTTACTGTGATGGACAGCTTTCTTCAGGCTAAAGCAGCCACAGCAACCAGAACTGCTCTCTCCCTGAGATGTAGCCTGAAGAGTATCTCCAGACAATTAATGCTCTGCCAAGGTATGGAGCCTTCAGTTCATCATCACCTTCCAAATAAACTCATGTAATTTTTCTGCTTGAATATAGTTGAGATATAACGTAATAGGTCCAAGAAGAATGACTTGAAGGCAGTGTGTTCTGCCAGAAAAAGCCCTGGAATTCAGTTCCTGTTTTGATGGCTTTTTTCTCTACAATAGTAAGCATGATCTCTGAATTGCCTTTCCTTCATCTGAAAAATAAATTTGAAGAGAAAAGGTAGCAAAGTGGGAGGTGAAATAATATCTACACCATCTAGCTTATAGTATGGCTGTGAGAATTAAATTAAATCATAGATAAAACATTTTACAAGCAAGCTACTAAGCATAAAATCAAAATATTTATATGTGTAGAATTGAAGACCTCTTCAAAATGCATTTATAAAATGAGGCTTTGGTAGGAGGTTTATAGCCAGTTTCTCAAAAGCAATACAAAGAATTATGCAACCCTTTCCACAGCTGGAAATTTGGGCTGCATCAAGTGCACAAAGGGGCTTTCAGACAACCTTGTGAAAACAGATGGAGCTGAGACACAGTGTTCCTGCTCTCATGGAAAGCAAGTATAAATCAGGGGTTGGAGAGGAACTTTAGTCTATAATCCTAAATTGTTTCCCCTTCAATGATGGTTAGAGTTCCCTGAAGTGTCTGCCTTCACAAAGCTGAGAAAAGTAGGATAGACAAGCCAGACAAGCTTTTTATTGCTCTATTGTCCAATTCCCTGAAAACTGGAGGAAATAACAGAAATGGAGACAAACTATTACCTTAGGATTTTTTTTAGTATTGAAAAATCAAACATTTACTGATCCTCTTAGGGTTTCTGTGACTCTGGAAGAACAGAGAGGAGCACACACACACACACACACACACACACACACACACTCACATGCATATCAAGCATATTTTGATCCATTATTGCTTAGTCTTTATTCTTAGCTAGTACTTTATATAATGTTATAGTAATACTTTTACCTTCTAGTTACCTAATTCACCCACATTTTTGCAAATACTAAAACTATTCTTCAAAACTCAAGAAATGAGTTTCAAACAGCCTGACACCAGAGGAGCAAATCACTGTGTGTCAGGGTGCATGGACATCCTGAAATAGAGTCCTGCCTTGCCAGGCAGACTTGGTCCTTGACTACCCATAAAAGAATGGCACTGAGGTATCCATGTACATTAGCAGTGGATTCTTTTTATCTGAAAAGTATCCTTCATGTTCTAACACCTCTTCCAAGTGTCCCACAGCCTCACACAATCCCTCCAGTCATTTCTTGTCCCTTGTCCAGCAACTCTGACTCACTTACCCAGGGGAATTTTTTCCAGCAGGTAGAGATAGCACTGAAAGAAGTCATTTCTAATGGCTCTGTGCAGGATAAAGGACATGCTATGTCGACAGAGTTCATCGTCGGTCTTCTGCCAGCGGGATCTAAAAGCAAAATGGGCTCCCAGGTGGGCCATGGTAAAGGGGTATAATAATTATTCCTGCAAAGAAAAGAAGCTTGTCTGGCTGTTTCTTTGAATTAGGTTTCTCTTCCTAAAAGAACTTGAGACTGTCATTTTAAACCAGTCCCCTGTCCATCTATATCAGGCCAGCCTGTCATGGGGCTAGGTGGGAGGGGCAGCAGACTTGGGGAGGTCAGGCTCTTGGCAGATCCTCCATCTGATTGCTTGGGTGACACCATTCCAAGCCAGCAGGTGCTAAGTAAAGATGAAAACAGGCTGAGTGAGATCCTGCTTCATCCAGGAAAAAAGCACACTTCCCTCCTTTAGCTGTGGCTTCAAACAGGCTTGAGCACGGCCGGCTAACACCCTGAATATTTGCTCTAATTTGATTCCTCAATTGGAGCAGCCTAATTTCCATTTCAAAGAGTTGTGAATATTTTGCAGGAGATCCTATTCCCTGATTTCCATCACTCCTTCTGGAACACTGAATCCTCAAGTTACAAGGACCCTTCAAAGTCATCTTAGCCGTTCACATTCCTTTCATCAGGGCAGCTTTTCCCAAATCACTTCATAGAGATGGATATGTGTTTCCTATTTTTAAGGATCTTCAAGAGATGTAATTATTTGAAAGGCAGTTTTGATGTCAAATAACCTTCTCTATCATCAAACTCTTCCATTTAGCTTGCTGTAAATGACATCTACTCATGGAAACCTCTCTTTTCCTCCCTGTCTGTTGTGGTTACTATTTTCTTCCTATATACATTTGTTTTCTATACTGTCTTCTGATCATGCCTCCAGATCTATTCTGCACTACTTCCATGTCAATACATGTGCCAGAGGACTGATCTACATTGGCTTTATCAATGGACTCCATTATCCTCAGCTGTACCCAATGAATAATGTCCTAGGGGGTAATGGATGAGCCTGAAATCTAGGTTTCTGTTCCTCTGGCACTTGACCAGTGAAGATGCCCCAAATCGCCAATGCCTATAACAGAAAATTATAGGTCCTCTAGTTTTTTCTTAAGCAAATATCCTCTCTAAATTCTGACATCTTCTCCTTTACTTCATTGCTAAAAGCCAACAGGTAGTGATATGTGACTATTTTGAGCCCTTTCCTTGTCATTTTCCTACCTTATCTCATGTTTTTGGAAAAAGTTCCTTGTAAGCCAACTCAGATACCCAACCTATGAATCTCATCTCTTCCCAGCAGGGACTCCAATTACTGCAGAAACAAGTACAACTGACCTTCAGTGTTCCTATCAGGAAAATGCATATGAACTCAATGCACTTTTGGTTCCATACTATGTACACTAACAGTCAAAATGCACATACACAAAAGCATGCACACCACATCACATAGCAGTTCAGGTTGCTAAAACATATTGAAAAATACTAGGTGGTTTAAACAATAAGCACTTATTTCTCACAGTTCTGAATAGTAAGAAGTCTAAGATCAAGGTACTAGCAGACATAGGTGCTTAATAAGGACTTTTTTTAGGTAGCAAATTACACATTTCTCACTGTACACATGGCAATAAGTAAAACCAACTCTTGTGTCTCTTAAAGGTGTTAATCCCACTCATAGTTTCCACCCTTGTCTCCTAATTATCTTGCTAGGCATCATTTCTAAACCCCATCAAACCGGGAATGAGAATTTTAACATAAGAATTTTGAGAAAACGCTACCATTCAGCCTATCATGGCTGGCAATATTCTCACCTCTTTCCTACATGACAACCATGCCTTTTGTCAGCCTCTCTATTACTTTCCTGTTGCTGAGGCAAAAGAAGAAAGGTCAAAGAAGGAAATTTAAGGAGGAAGTATTTATTTGGTAAACAGGCTCAATGGGTTCAGTCATGGTAGATTAGCTCTAAAGCAGGAAATGGCTAGGTGGAAGCACATGATGGAGTAAGGCTGTGCCCTGTATGATAATCAGGAGGCAGAGAGAGAAAGGAGAAAATGGGAACAATATATACCCTTCCAGGTCATGCCACTAGTAATTCACCTTCTTCGACCAAGCACCACCTGGATCAGCACCCTCATGATCCAATCAGCTTTCAAAAGCCCCATCTTTGAACATGAGACTTTGGGGGTGAATTTTCGATCTAAACCACATATTTTACCCTTGAGTATAGATTTGACTTAGTGATTCAACTCTAAAGAATAGCACCTGTGGGTCTGGTTTATTTCACTTATGAGTATGTCTTCAAGTGGCATCCACTTAACTATAAAGGTTTTGAGTTTATCATTCTTTACAACTGAGTAAAACACGAAGTATAAAAGTAAAGCCATATTAATATGCTGAGCTGTAAAAGGCTCAAGTCAACAACTTCTGACATTGCCAGTCCTACAGATAACCCACTGCTATTATGGACTACTGGACTATATTGGATTATTTTGCTGAATTCATGCACCTACGATATTTAAATGGCAATGGAATA